GGTGAGTGTCGCAATGTCTTGTCCCTGTGCAGAGGGCTGGGCTGGGACCACCACACATCTTTAAGTGATTTCAAAGCCAAATGGGCAGAAATTAAATGTTGGTGTTGGAAGATGAACACTCATGACCTGCTGCTGTAGTGATGGAGCTTGGATGGTTTGGCAGGAGGAAAGATAAAACAAGGAATTCACAGAGGGTATGATCACACATCTTTAAGTAATTTCAAAGTCAAACGGGAAGAAATTAAATGTTGGAAGATGAACACTCATGATGTGCTGCTGTAGTGATGGAGCTTGGATGGTTTGGCAGGAGGAAAGATAAAACAAAGAATTCACAGAGGGTATGAGTCCAACAAAACTGCTTTTGGCTGCTCTGTACCTTTCAGCTGTGTCCTTGCTCTGTCTTTCTCTCTTTTCACACCTTTCCCCATTACCAAGAAATCTTTGGAGTACAGAAGGATTGGCTCTTTGCTTTGTTGTAAACAAAATTAAACAGGACTGCTTGCAAGTGATCGGTTTTGATTATTTTCATTTCTCTTTATTTAAAACACCCCAAGAAGTCTGATCATGAATACTGGGGTTTATCTACTCCACCATATCAAGATTAGCCACGAAGTGATAAGGCAGAACCTACCCAGGTTCAAGATTTCTGCCTAACAGAGGCATAAATATCCACAAAGCATCCTTGTCCCTTCAGCAGCTGAGCTGTTCTGTACAATCAATGGCTTTTTTTTTTCTTTTAACTCAGTGACAGAAAATCTGTCCAAACAAGGCATAGTGAGTATGTTTGGTGGGGGATTTTGTGGGGGTTTTTTGAGTTTGTTTCTTTTAGTGTGTTTGTGTTGTTGGTTTTGTGGGGTATTTTTAGGAAAGAAAGCAGAACCAGCAGGAGATGTAAGTAATGAAGGTACTGGGTTGAGTTTGTTATACCCATAAAGCATAAATTACTCTGGATTTAGCTTTAAATATTCATTGGATTTGCTCATTCACTGCTGTCCATAAAAACCCATCACATTGTTTAGCACAATTAGGCTTGATTGTTTAAAGAGTCTGGACTGAAATAGCATTAATTAGCTATGTCATGCTATTATTCACTGTCCATAAACTTGCTGTTACCATTCAGATCATGCTTGGATTTACTGGCAGAGCAGAACCTGGAAAAACATAACAGACAGTAGACTTTATAAAGCTGTTTTATTTTTTGCTGATTCAGTTTTCTGAGGGAGGACATATTGCAATGTTAGGAAAAGATCTTTAAACCTAAAATGAAGAGAGAGATGGAGATGGGACTTAGTTTTATATCTTTTTGTTAACATGTAGCTTCATAATCAGGAAGCTTTTCTATTTTTCCTTTTTTAGTAGTCCATATTAAAATTTCAGACTTGACTTTCTGGGTGTACAGAATTGGTCTTTGCATTTTCCACAGATTCTATAACAGCAATTTACGGGCACAAGCCTTACCTTCCTTCTCACAGATGTTTTACTTTGCCTTGCTTTTACATTCACTTTTCCTTTTTAGCACTTATAATGAGCAGATATACTAAGCAACATAAAATAGCTTAAATAAAGATTTTGCCAGTTCATTTAAAGCAACAAAAAGTCAAGCACAGAGAAACAAGTGTGCTACGCTGTGATCCAAGTCACTTTAGAAAAACCAAAGCTGAACAAAAATGCAAATATTTATGTTTATTTACACGAACAAGTGCCTGTTTATGTACTGTATGCTGGAGATTTTTAAAAATTTAAAGAAAAGGTAATTTTCTAGTTGTAAACCCCAGGCATTATCCAATCCCTACACTCATTTAATGGCAATATGTCTTTGTGCTTGGATGGAGCACCAGCTCGCTCCTTTGGTGTGAGCAATTACTGTCATAAGCCATAAATCTGCCTCAAGAAGTGACAGTTTAAGCTTAGGATTCTTAATGCTGGCTCTCTTAGAATAATGGTTGCTTAACATAACACTTGGAGCATTACCCATGTGGATCAAAAAGAGGGTTTTGAGTGAAAAAAAATTCTTCTGTCTTCCAGATGAGCCTTTGGCATTATGCTGCATATAAACTGCAGTTATTTCACTCAATACTAAAACTTCTACTGAGCTCATTTCAGGACTTCATTTAAAGACACCAAGAAGACAAGAAAGAAGGTATGTTTGTAGTTTAAGGCAATCTTCTCCTCTCTCAAAATATTTTTAATATATAAGAAAGCCAAACAACAATGGAGAGGCATAATGGTAAACAGCAAATTCCTCCTTTAAGGAATGAGCCTTCTGCCTTTGCTGGGAAGCTTTCTTGTGTTGATACATTTAAAGAATATATTAATTTCTGCTGGATTTCTCTAGTATTTCTGAAAAAAAAACAAACCCCAAAACAATCAGAGGAGCCCAGTTAAAAATCAGGCATCATTGAGAAACTTCATCAGTCCTTATGCAGATGATACAGCGAGGGCAGACAGAGTGTTTACTGCTCTGTTTTTTTTGTCAGGACTCTGGGATATGCAGATTTTTATATAACTGTCATTATTGAATCCTGTGGAAATTTCCAGCTGACATAGTCCTCAAATTCTAGCCCCAGTTTGTTTTTTGACTTTCTGATAAGCCTGGCAACCTTCACTGTCCTTCCCTAATCACAAAGGAGAAATATTGGCCTCTTGAGCAGCTGATGGAATTAATGCCTGATGATTTCACGATTAATGTAATCTTTATGCAGCAATTTCCACTGTTGTCCAATATCCACGATGAATCTCTTCACAGCAGCCATGAAATATTTTAGAGAAATTGTAACTTAGTGGAGAACACGAGATACACATCTAATCAGAACTTTGTGAATGTAAATCATATTCATGCAAGGCAGGCAGATTTTATTGGTAGGAGAAGTCAATAACACTAACGAGGAAAAATTCATTCTGTTGAACTTGTAGTACTTTTAATGTGCCCAATTTTTGCTGGATGCTCTTAGGCTGCCTTTTAAATTTAGATTTCCAGACACTTCTAAACCACATCCTGGATGCAAACCCTACCACAGCCATATGTAATTTTAAATCAGAAAACTTCCTCACAACCATAAAGGGCTACAAGGAGATCTTTCTTTCATTTCCTTTCAATACTATTGACATCCAAGTAAGTCTCAGCAAATGTGGTTTAGTCAATAATTCCTACTGGCATTGCTGGTATGATTTAGAAGGGACAGTGAGTCACCTACCCAACATAATAACTGTGTTAGGAAGGATGAAATTTGTCACACTGGGCTTTGCCTGCCTGCCCAGCAGGAGATGAGAAGGCACCTTGCCTGATTTGGGGATTTCTTCTCCCCCTTTCTCTGCTTTCTCTAAATCTAGTTCTACTGAAGGCAGTGGAAACACTCTGCTCTTCACACAGTCTTCACCTTTCACAATTTTCTATTTTATTTCTGTATCTATGACTTCAAATATTGTAAAATCCCTAGAATTTGAACTCATTTTTAAGGGAAACCCTCCGGCATCTCAAAAGCCTTAAAAGGCTGTAATTAGTATCTGAATCACATGAAGCAAACATCTCAGAAGGTGATTTTTGAAAACCCGGATCAGGACAAGGCTCAAAAATGGTAAGATTTTGTTAAGGCTAATAGGAAGAATGTGTTATTTCCTCCTTGCCACAGTTGTCCCTGCTGGTTTGGTGTGGATTAGCTTCTGCAGGCTGGCATATAAACCCACAGCTTCACCTCACTGAGAGTTAATTTTTGTTAATGTCTCTAGGAAAATTTTAAATTAGATAAATTAGAATTTTGTGCTCAGTTTTTCCCCCTGTTTGTGCTTTAATATTCCAAATCAACCACAAACTCTTGCTTTGGTGAATTATCCTTTATCACCTTGATGCTGGAATATAGGATGGGGTGAGATAAACAGTGGATGAGCTGCCACATTTGTACAGCTGAACATCAGTAAGATGGAGAATTTCCTGCCTCAAGGTCTCAGCATTAGCTAAAAAAGAAATTTCCTTTAAAGTCACAGAGGAGTTAGAGCAGTATAAACAGTGAGGTTGCCAATTCATTGCTCTAGACTTCTGTCAGGAATCTGAGTGAGCTTGGTACTTGATTTTGACGTGCATGTTTATTTTACACCACAAGGTTTGCTTTTTCCAATCATACTTCTCCTCAGGGTTTATTTAGTTTTGCCAATACTAACAAAACTATTTGTGTGGTACCTGCTGAAATATTATTGAAGACATCTAGCAAGTCATTCTACACCCTCTTCTTAACATATTTTTAACTCTACTGCATAAACAGTTGACTTATTCCTGAAGGAACCGCCTTCCAAATCCCAGGCCACTTAAGCATTCTCTGATTATGTATTTGCTGGATGTCACTTGCTAAATTCTGTTTTCTCAACATTATTTGAGCAAAATGTTCTGGCTATCAGAACATAATAGGGGTGTTTCATGTACTGCAGTCATCCTACACTTGTCTGGGCCTTTCATCCTTCTGGCACTGCTTTTCCTTGTCAAAATGTTGGTTGAAGGCAGTCATTTGCTAAACATTTCATTTGGTAATTGCTTTTTTGGGGTGGGTGTGTGAGGGGGTTGGTAATTGGCCTTTAACTTTAAAACTGAAGGCACCTGAGATGGACAAGCAGGATGATGTTTCAGTTTGATAAAGCAGAAATACCAGTTCAGTGTGGAGTGTCTCTTCATGCTCTTTCTGCTGTAAGGTACTCTAAATTTGTCAGATTTGCAAGTTAATCTTATTTTGAGCTTAATATTCTTAACAGTTTCTATTCCCTCTGCTTTCTTTTCTTCTGGCTATCACTGATCAGTGCTGAAAATTCCTGTAGACCCTTGTGTGCTTCAGCATTTTTTCTGCCACAACTGTTATTATGCATTGTGTTTTCCAGGGACAGATTTCACATGGGATTGGTGAATCAATGTTTTCTGCCAAATTTCATGAGTGTTTGGCAAAGTGACAGTATTAATTGAAAAAACCTGCTGGTGGTTCAAGCCTGTTTATGTAAACAGGGGCACTTTTTCTTTCCAGCCTGTATCCCAGTCATTTTGTGGTGGGATTTTAGTTCCTGGCCACTTGAAAGTTCTCGTTATGAATGTCAGGTAAGTCTTTCTTCATGAAGAATATTAGTCTCATGCCAGGTGAAAACATTAATCTGAAATAGGCCAGCAGAAGTTACCACCCTTCTCAAAAAGACTCCTTTTGATTTTTTTTAAATTTTATTTTTATTTGGGAGGAATCTTAGCAAAAGGAAGATAGAAAAGTTTTCCCTTGAGGTGAAGTATTCCCAAGGAATCTTAGAGAAAGGAAGATAGAAAAGTTTTCCCTTGAGGTGAAGTATTCCCAGAAAAATGAAATAGGTAAGATTTTTCATCACCAAATCCCAAATCTTTGTATTTGCATTCCAAAATCATCTGCTTAGAGGACAAGTACAGGTCTATAAAATATTTCCCGCTTAAGTAATTTATGAGCTGTATGATACAAAACTGTGGCTGAAATTCACTTGAGTTAAAATGGAGTCTATCTTTAAATTGATAAACAGACTTCTGCTGTAAAGCTGTGCTGTTTGTTTTCTTTTTTTTCCTATTGGATAAAATATTTAAATTCAGGTTTGAAAACATCAGAAGACCATTTATTGTGAGGAGCCCCGACCTTCACACACGAGTATTTAATTGAGAGCCTGTGTAAACACTCTTGTATCTCCTTCTCATCTGTTTGCTGGGACACATGTGCAGCTCCAATGGGGTTTTTCTGTCCTCTGCAGTTCTAGGAAGAAGGAATTGCATCTGGGATGAGCCCAGAATATCCTTTTTTACCTGCTTTGGCTCTGATAACCTAAGGCCCTGGTGCTTGGACTCTGCCCTCCAGCTGAGCTGACTTCCTTGCAGTGAGCTGCAGCATTTAAATCCAAGCCACCTGGTCAGAATATTTTAATATTTAGCAATGAAAAGCTATTTCTAGTTCAGGTCAGGCTTCTAATTTAAAGTAGCCCTGCTGGTTTTGATGGGACATGGCAAACACTGAAGGTCTGCATCAATCCAGTCAGTCCAGATATCAGCAAGGAGGTTCCAGCCAGAACTCAGGATAATTATCTGTGTATTTTTTGTGGTGATGATTTGTTTTATTTCCTTTTCACTTGCCAATACCTGACCTCAATATTTTCAATTTATCCATGTAAGGGCACCTTTGCTGCAGTCATTCTGCTGACTCTGGTGTAGACATAGCCTGGGTCTCGTTTTGCAGGGGAAATACAAGTTTTCCTGGCATAAATAGGATAAAAACTAATGGCTGCATCTACTTTTCTTCATTGTCTTCATCATTTTGCTGCTGCTTTTAGGCAACATGTCAGCATTTAGTCATAAACATCTCTGTAAAAAATGTGTGCTGACAAACACCACATTATACTTCAAGTACATATTAGGTTTCTGAGCTGTTTTTTTGTTTGTCTTTTTCCATGACTGCAGGTTTGGGTTTTTTTCTGTGGGTGACATTACTTACAGATGTCTATCCTTACTTTTTCCAGTTTTATTAATTACTTTAGAAGTAAATCAATCGACACAGATTTGATAAATAGAGGGGGTGCCTAGTAAAGAAAGCTACAGTTTGTGAGCTCACGTGCTCAAAAGGAAACAAATACAGAGCTGGTGTTTTGGCAGTTTTATTTGATGGAAGTCAATGTGAATACAAGTTTTACTAAGAAAAAAGGAAGACCACAAGACTTGTGTTGTTTGTATGAAATCCCTATTTGTTGAAAAATTTTCCAAAATTTGATCTTTTTTAATTAAGCTGCAAGTTGGCAATTGAAGGGGGGAAAAGAAAGGTTTGGACTAAATTGATTAAAAACATAGAAAAGGCTCTTATGGAATTTTCCCTGCATTTAAAACTCTTGATGTATTTGAGTCAAGTCATTATGTGCCACATTCACAATTTATACCAGCTGACTTTAAGGGTACTTCATTAGTGCAATGCCAGTGAGAATTTTCCACTTAGTGAAAACCTAATGAATACAGAAGATTTAACAACCTTTGAATACCCTTTAATCTAAAACATGAAGAATCAAAAATAACAATGACATTTTCACTTTTAATACAGTTTATCTGTTAGTGAACACACAGGCTAGAATCATTGCATCTTTTTTTGCTATCTTGGAAAGAGTTAATGAAGAAAATTGATATGTAATATATTCCTTGCAATAAGTAACCATTAGTTCTTGCACACCTACTGGAATTCATCCTAAAAACAACAGCAAATTTATCTAAAATAAAATCTAGTTCTTCAATACCTCTGTCCTTCAGATGAATTTTGCATGAGCTTGAATAAAATTTTGCTTTATAGAGGTCGGGTGTTTTTTATGCAATGCCTATAGTAAGTTGTTCCTCTGTAAAATGTGAATTCAGAGTTTTTGCCTTATTGCTGGCTCTAGTAATTAATTGTTTGTTAATGGGAGCAGTTGGAAGACTTCTCAAACTGAAATTCTTGAGCTGGAAATTTCTTTTTAACATTCCCAGATAAATGACCTGATTCTGGTCTCCTACTTTTTTATCCTTGAGTGACTCTAATGCTGCTACTTTTGTTTTTATGCCATCCAAAGTCATGACTTGGCTCAAGGAGAAACCAAAGGCCTAAAGTTTAAATAATTGGCACTAGCTGAGCATTATTTGGGGATCTGTAATATTTCAATATTTTTAGTCTTTATATCTAATTAATTAAATTCTATTAGGAACCACCATGACTGCAGGAGTTGTACTAATACTGTTATGCTATGGGTCTGCATCCAGCTTTAAAGCCAAGTTTAAAATCAATTCCTGTCTGCAACTTTTTTAGCAGTCAGACTGAGTTAAGATGGTTGAATAAAACCACAAATGTCAGTAAGTAATGACAGCTTACCATAATTTCTTTAAAAAAATCCTAATGTTGCCAGTAAGGAAAGTCACATGCTGTGGACACAGAAATCACAGAAATTCGTGTACTCTTTTAAAAGCCTCTAAAGTTTCTGTGCAGCTCTCACACTACAGCTCCATGAATATGTAATGGAGTTTTTCATTAACATAAATCTTTATGTATTATGATGTCAAATGAGTGAAGGTTCCAGCACAAAAATTTTAAGCATTTTGGAAGGAGAGTGATTTAAAAAGAGATGACAGAGACGGGAATCTCAGCCTCCAGTCTATGCTCCATTAATCTTAGGCAGCAAAATAATATAAATATAGTGACGGGGAGAGCCAAATTTGGATTTCAGTTCCATGAAGGAATATTGAGAATGTTTTCTACCATAAGCTAGGCTAAAATGTAGAAAATGTTGAGTCTTAACTATATTTGTAGAATATTGTATTGTTTCAAATTTGTAGCATTATTGATTTTATATATACATATATATATGCACACACACATGCACACTTCTAAAAACAAGTAGATTTTAGAGGGTGATTCAGCTATCAAATCACACTGATCTAACATTTCCAGAGCAGCACTCAGGTGCTGCTCTGGAAGTGTGGAGCCCTTAACCAGTGTGTGCTGTCCCAATATACATGTTGAACACCTTGGGCCACACTGATCTAACATTTCTTTAGCAGCATTCAGGTGCTGGAAGTGTGGAGCCCTTAACCAGTGTGTGCTGTCCCAATATACATGTTGAACACCTTGGGAAGATCCAAAACAGCTTTAAATTCATATATTTAGGCAGCTGAATACCATTGTTGTAATCATATGCATAACACACTTATAATTTCTATTGCTTCCCCTTTGTATCACGTGGAAATAACAAATTTCCAAGTTCTAAAATTAATTCTATCAAGAACTTAATGAAGTAGAGCATTTAATGATTTAACTCCATTGCTTTCACTTTGTTTGTTATAGAAAATGTCTTCATTTTTAGTAGCTCTTGGTAATGTATTAGATATTTCCAATGGCTCAAAGGATACCAAGTTAGGTAGTTTAAATTGCTGGGAATATTAATGCAAGGAGTAGTTCAAGAAATTAAATTCTGACACATTGAGAAAAACTCATGCTTAACTGTTTTCAAATATAATCTTTAGTGCTGTAAAAATGATACTCTGCACTGAGCAGGTAAGGCACACAGACATTTAGTTTCAAACTGGCAGGAAAATGAGGATGCTTATGAAGAAAATAGCACTGAAAATTAGTAAAATAATTAAAATGCAATAAGTGAAAAAGATCTAGCAGACTTGTGGTCCTACAAAGATGGAAGGGCAATAAACCATGAGGAAACCCAAGGAAGAAGAAAATCAGAACTGGTTCTCCCCTGCAAGGAGGAGAAATACTGACAGAAGAGGTGTGACAGCATGGCCAAGTCAGCAGTTATCAGCCACAAATCAAGATATTTTCCTTAATATTTTGGGCACTAGTTTCCCCAGTTTCCATAGTTAAAGCACTAAAACTAGAATGGAGTAATTGCAGAGCAGGTAATTGTTTGGGTATGTATAATTGCTGTATTTCCTCTTCGACATGGAGAAGACATTGTGGAAATATTCTTGTTGAGCATTACTGACAGAGGCAGACAAAGCCAATAAATTTAACAGGCAAACGGAGGCTCTCAAGAATCAGCCCAGTGTCCTGTTTGCCAGTGTAGGGGAAATACAGTATGGGAGACACAGGAAATCAATGCAACTGCAACACCTTAACCACTCTGAGATTCTAAAGGTCAGACCAGTCTGGGTTTTCTGCATTCACTTCTGCTACAGTCTTCCCTGATGAGGTTGTCTTTTAAAAAGAGAAAATTCCTTAAATGTATATTATTTTAATTTTGTAATGCTGCAACTCATGGCAGCTCAATAAATAACTTTTCTTCAGAAATAAGTGATGTGATTATTATTTCAGAGAAATTTTAGTATGGGCAAGGGTATTTAGAAAGGAAAATCATGCTGCTCTAGAAAAGAGCATAAGAAATGTGGTATTAGCTTTCAGTTCACATATGAGTCTGGTTCCATAATGGAAAATCACAGAAACATTGGCTGGAAGGGACCTGTGGAGGTCCAACCATATGCTCAGTGCAGGACTGTCACCAATGGGCAGAATTAGCTCAGCTGTGGCTTTGTCTAGCTGAGCCTTAAAAACAAGTGAGGTGGTTCCAACATCTTTCTGGACAGAAAAAAGAAGAAAAAAGTTTGCCCATAAATTGAGCTGAAGCCATGTTATGAGCTGCTCCTCATCAACCATTTCTTTGTGCAGAGCTGAGAGAGCACAGACAGTTAAACTGATAATTTCTTTATCCTGCTTAATTTTACAGATATGCAGATCCATATTAGGTTGCTGAAGAGCTGCATTATTTCAACACAGCCCCATCTCTTCACCGGGTGATTTATCCACAGCAGCAAAAGGCACTGTCAATAAACCACAGGTACAATTTGGATGACTAGGGGAAATTTTGGTATAGAGTAATCCTGTATGCACTAAACTGCTATTTTTCAGAAAGGATTCTTTTCATACACAGCTGCACAGAGTAGATGTCAATATATAGAAGAGCAATATGCCCATTTCCTTAACAAATGAGATTTTGCTTGTACTTTTCATCTGGACAGCAGACCTGAAGGAGCTGAGTACAGCAGGCTATGTTCCATATTGCAGCACTGCTGGATCACTTCTCTCTTTCTCAGTTATCTGGGTGGGTGAGCACGTGCTGAGAGTGCAGCACTAAGGTTTTAGTGATTGATGCTGCTGGGAAAAAGCAAAATGTGTCAGTTTTCTCCACACCTGGTGCAAAATAAATGCAGCATGAGTGCCTCTACAGCAATTCCTTTAAGACTTCAAAAAGGGGGTTGTGAGGGATAGAATAGGAATGTGGAAGCTATAATGTCATAAAGCAGATATTTTTCAATCATATGATTGCTTTTCTCTCTTGGCTTGCACAAGTCAAGCACTTGACTTGCTGTTTCTGAATGCTGTGGGATTTCATTGCAGAACAAGAGTGTTCATTTAAATGGTGGTTAATATTTCTAAATAGTCAACTGCAGGTTTTAAGAGTTACATGGATGCTGATTTCACATCATTCCTGTGAGATGTGTGCAGTAAAAAGGTGGAGCAAAGTTGAGAGTAAAGCAGAGTTGTTGAAGCAAATTGATAAAGCTGAGGTTTCCTGTTGTGTGTACTTTGTCTTGCTTTACTTTTGTTAACTTGGAAAAATTCTTGTCCAGGTGTGGATTCTGATGTTTACTAGAACAGAAACCACCTAATTTCCATAGGATTAGGATGATACACAAAGCAGAAAGAGACCAAATTATCACTAAAAATTCAAATTCCTAACTTGGGGCTTCTGTGCCATCACATCTCGCAAACACTACTAAGTGAACCACAGTAATATTTGGTACCAGTCTTGCTAAAATCTGGAGAAAATAATCACCATCAAAGTATTTGTAAGTTTTCTTACATTTCTAAGCTCTCAAGACAATTGTAAGAGGCCAGGAAAATTACTGAGTTATTGACGCTATTAACAGTAACAAACACCAAAATAAACAACAATTTAAAAAACCCTCCATGTCTGTGGAGGATAGAAAATATTAATTCTGCTTTCTTTAGCATTTCTGTAAAGTTTGGGAGTATCACAGGACATATAAAAATGAAAATGCTCTACCTTGTGGTAGTCAAGCCATCCTCAGCCAGAGGTGGAAAAAGTACAGAAGCTGCAATTTTGAACTATATTTGGGGTTTTTTCATAGCAAACATTCAAGTCATAAGTGTATTTTGGGATTCCATAGTCAGTATTTCTGGAGTTGCCTGTTCACAATCCAAGTTATCCCTTGGTGCTTGCAAAAAGAAAAGAAATTATTTAAATGTGAGGGAATACTCACATCCCCAACTGCTTACTGACTGGAGTATTTTTTTTTTTAATGTACTTTGTACAGTTAAAGCTGGTGTCATTTTTACAGAATTGCTACTCTAGACCAGTTTGAAAGTGGTAATCTATCACTGGAGTGATATTCCCAGGTTGCTTCATATTTGTATTTGTTAATAGGATTTTCTAGAAGTGAATACTTAGAGCCCAGCCCTGTGTTTGTTTCAGGTTGGACTGAAAGTCTCACATGAAAGGAACTGGATCTTCTCATGTTTTTTGGGAAAAAGGAATGCATGTTTTTGCTTCATCTGGTTGCACTTAAGTTCATTAAGCTGAAAATGAAATCTGTCAGAGAGAGTCATGTGTAGCTTTGTTTGTTTATTTGTCTTTTTCCCAAAAAATGCCTGTAGTAGGAGTTTGTATTCATCTGCAACCCTCTCCAAACTGGGGTTTCTCTACAAAAGTGTGCAGAAGTTGTGGTTTTTTCTTTCTTAGTTTTAGTTCTTCAGATTTTGCAGCATTCTCTCTGTTTAAATAGCTGAATAGCAAAGCAGAAAGTCAGCCCTTTATAGCATGTAATCAAGCTTTTTATATGCTGAGCATTTTTCATTAGTACAGGGGAAAAAATTTCCTTCCTTTGCGTGGTGTTCTGACAGTAAATACAGTGAATACATTTCTTTCATTACTCCAGGTAGACTTTTGGGAAACCAACACTTCAAACAGAGATTTGCCTTTCTCTGCAAAGGATATGGATGAAGTATAACAGAGAATTAGAGGTGGTCTCTGATGCAGGGGACGTAACAAAGATCACATTTTCACTGCACACCCTTGCAGGAGTCTGTGTGTGACAATTTCTGACAATCAGTGCAAATCAAGCACCGTGCACCACGCTGAGCCTGGAATCAGCATGCACCACACAGCCCTCAGGAGAGAAAGAGGTGGTGCTGCTGGAGATGGAAACTGGTGTGGATTCAAACTCCGAAAAGTAGAAAAATAGATCCCCTGATGACAAAATCACACCTGGTGTTAAAGCCTAGGCTCTCATTAAGTAATGATTATTGCCTGCTGTGTATAAAAATAGCCAACACAAATAGCAGAACTTAGCAGTGCTAATTTAATAGTTGACTGTGCTTACGGGTGTTCAGTGGAGCAGAGAGAATAATCTGCTGAGAGTTGTATATTGAGTGATTCCAGTCCCTCTATTCTGCTTCTGGAATAAGCACAAACAGATCACAATTTCCTGGAGTTCATCTCTTCAAATATCTTTTATTAACAACTTTTCCCAGATACAATTGACTGGGTTGATTGATCATGAATATTCTCAATTCAAACCGCTGTGTGTGCTTGTGGTTAATCAGATAAGTCACATTTTATCATTTTTGTTGACTGTCTGGGTAAATTCACAACAGCTTTCAGGGAGCTGAACCCAGCCATGTGCTAAAGAAAGCAAATGTACAAAAAAACCACATACATCTAAAGCATATTTATCAAAACACATTTTCATTAGTTATGTTTGGTAGAAAAGCATCATAACTGTGCATTAACTAAAAGGAGAATGGGACCTGCAACTTTGCACTTCATGGAAAATTACATTTTGCTATTGCAGATGTGTATTCTAGTGGGTAATGTGTGTATTTCTATATATTGCTAAATATTTCTATATATTGCTATATTTCCTTCACAATTTAAGGTGACATGAGACTCATCCACTGCCTTTTCAATGTTGGAAGGAAATATGCTGGAAAGGAATAGAAGACTTAAATACTTTAGAATGTAAAATGGTAACCAGCTAATGACACAAAATACAGCACAGTTTGGGATTTTACAGATCACTCTAATGCCCTCATGTGATTCATGTATGGTCCTCTCACAGAGGAGCAAGAATTTTTAATATTTATTTTTCAGTGCTTGGGTCAATGGGGAAGCCTGGGAGGTGTTATCTGCTAAAACTAAACTAAACTTCAAAACTCATCAGATTCTATGATTCTATAGGTTATCCTGTGGTCATGCATTTGTTTGTGGCTGCTAGAAGAAACCAAAGATTAAATAAGAAGTGAAAATAATCTTGGAACATAGCTGGTATTGATTGTCTCATTCAGTGTTTTTCCAAATCTTTGTATACCTTGAAGTTGCTGGTGATTTTTCCTTACAAAAAAACTAGGAGTCCAATTAGCAGTAGTTTGGAAACAGTAAATGAAAAGGATTCTTGAAAAAAGAAACTATCAGAATTTAAATACTAATTTGTAAAGCTGGGAATTCTCATCCTGAAATGAGGCTAAACATCTTTTTCTGGGAGCAATTTTTAATTGATAGTGTTTACTGTTTCTTTGCTTTCCGTTCCTCCTTTTAAAAAGAAAAAAAAAAAAGATCAAATATTGCAGAAGAGCAGATGCATTTGCTGATTCAGTTTGCTGAGGAGGTAACTGTCAGCCCAGCAGGAAAGAACAAGCAGGAGGGGATTCTTCTGCTGGCTTAAAGTTGTTCATCAGTCTTTTTCCCAAATCCATGAAACCACAGCTCTACACCTCTGACGTGAGGTAGCATAAGAAAGAGCACCATCACATGAGTAATTGGGACAAAAATTGAATTTTTATACCCAGATGTGCTAAGCATTTTCATCACTTAGTGATTCACTGACAAGTGTCTGCATTCCATGCTGCCTAATCCCAAGCTGTTTTTATTTGCATGTTTAAACTTGAACATAACATTTCTTTGGCTGCAGAACTAAAAATTTACCCCAAAATAGATCTTCAGTTCCAATTATGGCAAGTGTGTCTTTAAAACACATCTAATCAGGGCCTTCATTGCTTGGAGATTTAGTGCATCAGCTTTATCTTGTTTATTTAGGCAACTGATATGGTTTTCAAAATATGGATAACAAGGCATGGACAGAGCTGACTTTGCTGTGACAGAAATGAAAGAATCTTCAGATTTTTTTCTCTGTGGCAAAGGTACTGTTTGACATAAATGATGATATTCTGAGTTAAATAACAACAGTCAGAATTACTGTATTGTCTTAAAAATAACCAGAGGTGCAGGAAAGCCTCTGTCTCAGTGAGCTCAGTTATATTCATGCATCAACTTTTTTTTTTTCAGATGTCCTTCAGTAGTAGACTCAGCTGGGTCTCCTTCAGTCAAAGCTGCTGGGAACTTGAGGAATGGACTGAAAAATGCTCTTTTCACTCCTATCCACTGGAAATGATTCAAACCTGTTTTATTCAGCAGACCGTGCTCTCTCTTTTACCCCTAGGAGGAGCATGTTTTCTAGGGATGGGTGTTGGATAATATCTCTTATTTCCTGGGATTGGAGAGACTTTTCCTGTGTTTACATAGCTTTCCTTTAAAGCAGAAACACATCCAGGGCTAGGTGGGTGCCTTTCTAAGTGAGTGCTGCAGAGACAGATATTTGATACAACTGGGTTTTTTCCCCCTTGCTCTTCTTTCCTTCTCCTTTATACACCCCTATAATGTCCTCTACTTCACAGGTGCTAAATAACTAACTTTACTCAGTAAAGTCCCAGCTTGTATCTGTCTCAGCTTTGTCTTGGCTCTTTTGACTCACATTTACCTCTGAATCTGCTGTGTTTGTTAAAGACCAGAACAAACCTGCCTGATTTTCTGAACTGCACCTGTTGGCTTTATAAAGATTTGACTTCTATCTTCAAATCTGTTGAAGCAGTGGATTTATCCAGCATAATTTCTGTCATATTAATGTACTCTTCTTCTTCAGGAAGACAGCATCCAGGTCAAAGAGTCATCTTTAAGACTTAATTACAAGTATCAGGAGGAAGACAGAGTGATCCTGCCTTGCATCTTGAGGTAAACTCTGATGTATGACAAATATTGAAGGCAGAGATGACACACAGTTCAATGAGGAAGATTTAAACACTGTAGGGTGATGTAAACACAATCAACTGTTTTCTAGAGCCACAGGGGTGATTTATGAGGTCTATGATTTCTAAATAAAGAAATGAGAATATTTCATAGAAAGCTCCCTCCTCTAATTGAGTGACAAATGGAACCACAGAGGTCTCTTGTCACCACAGGTATGGACTTGCCTGAACTTTTGCTCTGTGGACATTTAAACAAATTCCCAAACCCCTTCAATAGTCTCTTAGAGTGCTTTATGTTACACTAGTTTTATAACTACTGTTTCATTTTCCTGAGCTGTGAGCTCATTGGTGAAGTTCTAAACCAGTGCTTCATTATATTTTCTAATTATCTATGTAGATAGCTGCTGTTATTTGGCTAAAAATGAATTTCTGTATATGTGGAGGAATAACACTAACAGCAAAAAAAAAAGGGTTTTTTTAAGTTATAAAATGTTTAGATTGGCTCAAGTGAATTAGGAAAAAAATCTGAAAATAGAGCTTTGACTCATTTTACTTGATCTGAAATGATCAGTTCATCCTGCTAGGTAACTTTTATAATTTGACCTTGAGTGAAAGAGCTTTCATTCCTGATAGAAACTAATTGTATATGCGGTGTTCAAGCCATAGTGTTGAAATTAAATTAGTACTGCACAGGAGGGGATCATACAAGGAAAAACACACTGTCTTAATGGGCTATAAACCTGAGTGAAGCACTGTTTTCAAACCAATGAAATGGCTATAAAGTCATCTTTGCTCTTTATGATTCAAATATACCCCTGAAAGTTATAATTTATATCTTAAATACATAAACCATAGAGTGAAAAACTGCATGTTTCAGTAACATGACAATAATCCCTCAGTTGAGTTTTTCACCAAATATTTATGCTGAGAGTTGAAATGAAAAGTTTTCTATATGTTCTTTGAAGGGAAGTCAGGTTTCATTATATTAGTACGAGCCTTGGAGCTGTGCTTCTCTTTTTTAGCAGCACGTGTTTGAAATTAATGCAGTTTCCATCTCCCTTTTTTTGCAGCACGTTTCACTTTCACAGTGCACACAGAGATCTGATCTCAGCTTGTTTGCTCTGAAGATAATGTAAGTTTTGCCAGTGACTTTGACAAAGAAAAGCACTTTGCCCAGTAATTGCTTGTAATATGCAGATATAACTAGCTATAATAACACGTGCTGTATTTCAAAAATTGAAAGAACATGAAATGCAAAGCCATAATACTGAAGAATTCTGGGGCTTCACTACACCCCACTTTTATACTGGTGAGCTCTGGCAATGTACAGCACTCTTGAAATGGTGTAATTATGAATTTGGGTCATTTCAAGGTTGCTTTACCCCATGTAAAGAAGCCTTTGCATACCAGGGGAGTGGTGTTTGGGTATTGTCTTCAAACTCTCCTCTTCTGTAAAGAACAATATGATATTGGAGACTGCTCCAGGAGAAGAGAGACAGCACAGAAGTGCTTGTGGCAGTGAGTCTGTCACAGCACAGAAGTGCACAGAAGTGCTTGTGGCAGTGAGTCTGTCCTTGCATCAGGCTGGGATGGTCTGTGGTGGTGAGCAGTGAGCACCATCACCAACCACATCCCACTGTGTTTGAGCTGGACATCATCCTGGACAGTGCTCAAAGCCAACTATTCATAAACATGTTCATAAACCGCTGGAAAGAGTTTGCAAACTGAAATTATTCTTTGTTAAACCCCATCAATGAGTGTGAAAGCCTTCCCTAGTCTAGATTTGGGACTAAGAACTTAAACTGATATGCTCTTTGCCTTCCCCTTCCTCTGTTTTGGGAATATTCTTCAGCAGAAGGTGATGAAACTTCATCACTGAAAGGTGCTGAAGCTTGTGGTGCTTCTGGGAACAAATTTATCTGTGCAGGGTGAGGGCAGCTTTCTAGAAATGCCAAAATTCAGTCATTTCTGCTATTCTGCCCCCAAAGACATTTAGAAAGACACAAGAATTACACCTGCTGCCACTCCTGGGATACACATTTAGTGGGAATTCACACCCCACACACCCATTTAAAGCCACATTTCTGAGTCTACTTGTTAAGTGGAAAAGTCTCAGTTTTTATTTAACTAAACTTCTGTCTTCAGAGATAGACTTGTAAGTGTAAAAACTGAAGGGAAGGAAAACAAACTTCCTGTCTTGCCTTTTGTGCAGTTTAGTGAAGGAGGGAATCTGCTCACCACTGAATAGTTTGGATGCCCTTTTTTACTTTCATCGGGTAAAATGCATTTGTTTTTTGAGAGTAAAAGAACACATAAGGTAAATGAAAGCACTTATGGCATGAATTAAGGATATCCATGTTCACTTACAGCCACTTTTTAAAATCAATAAAGCAAATCAGGATCCTCTTCTACTCTTGTAGTGTAATTATGATGTTGCAAATGTATCTAAGAAAGAGCTTTGAATAAGCTTTGTTTATCAAAAAAGTCCTGATCCTGCAAATTCTTGTGAAAGAACAATCACCTGATCCTCTTGGGTTTTTATGGCTGAGTAAACTGAGTAAAAAAGGCTGAACCCACGTTTAAAACTTTGGTTTTTAACTGTATAAATTCCCATTCCTTTGGTTTTCATAGTTGAAGGGATTTGTAGAGAGATTTTGATGAAAACTGTAAAATATTTACTATTAACATACAGCATCTAACAGAAAAAATGTTACTGAAGCACAAACTGTACCAGTTCACACCTCTGGACTCTCATTTCTAATTTATTTCTTGTCAACAGAACAAAATGGATTTGGCATCTTTGTTTAATGTTTGCACCTCTTAAACTGCTGCTGTGGCTCTTTCCAGCAGGCACTGGAGTTATGCTCCAGTGAAATTAAAGGAATTTCATTTGCTTCTGTCTTTGGCACCTGAACAAGGGAGTTGATAAGAGAAAGTTTTTGCCAGTGGTCTCCCAGCTCAGCAGCGACACGAGGTAATGTCTGTGAGGTGCAGCTGTGAATCAGGAAATGATTGAATAGATTCTATTTGTCTGCATCAGAGAAAAAACAAACCACAATTTTTCAAAAATTTCATAAAAGTATACAGCACCTACTGGACAAAAATTCAATTCCATTTCTGTGTTGTAGCTGTCAGTTTACAGTGGAATGGCTGCTTTTTAGCAGTGACTAATAACTACACTAGACAAATTTAGCAAACATAATGATATTGGTTTTCTGTTATTTCTCTAAAAGCAAGGTTATTTTTTTAACTTACAGATGCAAAAGCATCGCTGTCAGTACCCAAATCTTCGACATCAAAAGGCACATTTTGAAATGCCAGAAAAATCAAGCATTCTTTGTCTCAGACTGAAGGCTTTCTTAACTTTCACAGTGCTGTAAACTGTTGTTAACTCCAGTGGGATCTGAATGTATGTTTTTGCTGTTGGTTCCTGTTTCAGAGTGTTTGAAGTGAACTGTGATCAGTGTTCATGTTGAGAGGAAAGTTGGCTGGAGGTAAGGATGTGACTGAACCACTAAAGTTGGGTTTTTTCCATGGAAAGTACTGGAAGTATGTAATATTTAATTACATGTAAGAAGTATTTTCACTTGTTCATCAGATAAGGACTACTGTGGAACCATTTAGGGGCTTAAAAAATAATATTGGCAATGTATAAAAAATATCTTTCAAGAAGCATTTGGCAAAACCCCAATCCTATTTCTTCAAAAAACAAATGAACTACAAATATTGGGTTTGATGCAAATTGACAAATCACTCCAGCAGATCTGAGCATTAATATTGGTATGGACAAACAGCTTGGCTGGATAAAAATGAAAATGTGCATATTTTCAATTTCTAATGAGATCTAGAGAATACAGATACCCTCCAGACTGAAGTGCAGGGGATGAAATTCGAAACACATTTATGGAAAAATGCAAATATTTTGCGCATGAATTATAATGTGGCTGCAACCCTGTTGTTTATAGCTGAGAAGGAAGATACATGATATACCCAAAGTGAAAACACTTGTGAGTTAATGGCAAGTTTTTCTTCATTCTGCAAAAATTTTACATAGAGCCTGACAGTCTTTGAGTTTCCAGTCCATGTCCAGAGCCATTGGTCCAATTCAGGTTTCACTGATCTGTTTTACCCTGAGCAAAAGGTAACTTTTTACCCATGCAGCAAGTTCTTTCCAACAAAGGTTTCCATTGTATGGCTTCAGCCCAAGGGTAATAAATTGCAGCACATAAAGTGGTGATGATTTTAGGAGGATCAAATCAATTGTATTTGAATTTAAAGGTGGGGTTGATGTAGCAGAGAATTCGAGATCTGTTATTTTACACAGTTAATTTTGAATCAGTTGAAACCTAAGAGTGGTCATGCTTTCTCGGAGACCCACAAACAGCAATGCACAAAGAGAGGTTTTCTACTTTTTGTTCAAACAGTGCTCTTGGCTAGAAATCTTAAAAAGAGCAGATCTACACTTTTAACACTGTATTTTTTTTTTTTTTTTGGTTATCATCTAAGGGTGATCTGAAATCTGGATTGGCTCCACACTTTTCTACAGGCAATGTGTGACAAGAGAGGAAACCGAGGAGATAGGAGCATTATCTAAATGATATGGAGAAAAGCAGCAAGACATCCTAATAAACCACATTTATCCACATCAGAACAGTAGCAATTATAATTGGCACAATGTTAACTCAGTTTCAGAGTGTAATTCAGCACATATTTTGTCTCTTTTCTAGAAGGAACAGAAAATCCTCACCAGTATTAATTTATTTATAGCACATTATGAGCTCTTAGTCAGGGAAACATGTCCAGAACTTGGTGAGAGTCCTCTAAAGGGAAGTATTCATGACAGTTCCAATTCTTTTTTTTAATATAACCCTATTATGTGAAAGTGAGAGATTGCTGGAAACATTTTCCCTCAAAGAGGAAAAAATTGTAGTCACTTTCCCTTGCAGATGGGAGGTATCAGGGAAGCCACTTTAACCATGGGAAGGGAATAGTTTTGCTGCAAGGAGTAATATAAATCAGATGCATCTTCAAAATTAATTCCATGGCAATTCTTTTTTTTTGCCACTAGTTTCAGAATCTAGGGAAAATAACACATAAATAAATGAAAATGTGGCTGCTTTCTACCTTAGGGATATAGAATGGATTAATTTAATTTAATTAGATGAATGTGCTGCTTAAGTGGAAAACATTTCCTTGGTGGAGTAAACACACAAGTAGGCTGAACTTCTGGAACTCCACTGAAGTTCAAGATAAGCTCCCTAAAATAAGTTTCCCTTTGATTCCTTTAGAAAGAAGAAAAAAACCCAAAAACCAAAACATATTATTCATTATCAGAAATTAAGGGATTTTTCCTAATTGTATAGAGCTGTTTCCCTGTCACATCTTTTTGTTTTCAAGTTCAGATCATATCCAGTTTTCGAATTGATTTTTTTCCCCCCATCATAGTGAAATAAACTGTTTACTGTCCTCCTTTCCAGTAAAAACATGCAAGATGGTGATGAGTGTCAATATTTGCCAAGACTTCAAGTTTTTCAGACAGGAGAAAATCCTATCACAATGTCTATTACGCCCAGATCATGAAATTATTAGTTTTTCACAAAAGCCAGATGGGGAGAAAAGTGAATTTAATAACAAAGATGTTGCTTTCAGTAGGTATGGAACCTTCCTCTTTGCAAAACCTAATTATTTCTTATTTCTGAAGTTAAGGCATCATCCAGACTAAAGAGTCCCAGATTGGCTGTAACTGTGTGTAATGGTAATTTGAAATTTCATGTTGTTTTAGTACTAATGAAAAACAAATGACAAAACAAGTTTTGTTCTCACACAAACAAAAAGATTTTATCTCTGCAAGAAGAATTAGGCTGATTTTCATTCTCTTACCTACTTTACATGTTTGGTTTGTTTATGTTGTTGATTTTGGCTGCTTGAACCAGCTCTAAAAGAAACTTACTGTGTTCTGCCTCCCCTGTTAAATCTGGCACAGGGGATGGAATCAGTGCTGGGAAAGATTATTTCTTGCAGGAATAATGAAGCAATGGGAACATTGCTGCCCTTTTTTCCCCCTCCCCTCTTAGAGCAGATTTGGATATACCCAGTGGTTTGAAAAAATCATACTCTGTAATGTCCCATGAGGAATTACATGCCTATTGTTGGATTTATTTGTAAATGCAAGCTTCTTAAATTCAGTCTGTGGATAAGAAATCTCATCAAAGAGTAATTCCACTGAGGGCAGCAGGAACTGTCCACACCTGATTCACTGCAGGCAACAGGAGTGACAAAAGACAAAAGACAGGCAGAGATTCAAACTTATAATTTAGGGGTATTGGTGGTACTGCCTGCTCAGGAAGAAGTTTTGAAATCTTTGTCTGATAATCATTTCAGATTATTCACTCTATTAGTCACAGTCTAACTCCTCTTCCTGTGACCATTATTTAATTTTTCTTTCCCCTTTTTTTCCTTCTCTGGCTCTCTGAGCAAGTGTCTCTTGAACTTCATTGTTCTAGTGAGCATTCATTTATGTACACAATTATTATATTGTTATACAAGTTTATTTCAAATCACACCTGCCAAATCCCTACCACCTGTGGCAGGGCTTACAGTTACCTGGATCTGCCTGAGGCTTTGCAGACCTTCACCCAAGCCCTTATTGTGTAATTAAAAGTTACTTTTAAATTGATTATTACAGAATAGAAAGCATTGTTACTGTGGGAATTCACAGCTCATCAGTTCTTCTGACCAAAGTGTCACGTGGGCACAAATTGTAAATCTGAAATCAGTTCTTGACCAGCTCTGGGTGACTTAAAATTGCTGCCCTGTGAACCCTTCACCAGAGTTGTTAGATCATCATTATTCCAAGCTATATGACTGGTGTGTGATAGGGTTTCTGCGGTATCAGAAATAGTAATTAAATAATATTGTGCTAACCTTTGCAAATGGGCTCATTTGGATTCACAGAGCAAATAGCACCACTGCAGACAGGGTTTGCATGTCGCATGGCTGGTGCTTTTCTGACTGAACCACACAGATTATCAAAATTCACTGTCTGTCATACTTTCCTCAAGAATTCCAAGTAGGGGTTTTTGTGTGTTTTTTCAAGTTTAAATTCTTGAAGTAAATTTATATTTAAGAAAAAAAAAATTATTGCTGGGAAAAAGTCTGGAAACTCATGTTTGTAGTTCCAGATGTGGAAAAAAACCCAGAGAGAGGTGTAGTAAGCTTCTCTTTTTATTTATGAAAATTTGAAAATTTGTTAAGGAGAATGTAGAACTTTTGAAATGTATCACTGTGGTTCAGTGAGGAACAAAACTTGCAGTTGCACAAAGCAGACATGAAATTTTTCATATTGCTTAAAAAAAAAAAAAGTGGAGTTGTACCACTTAAAAAGTTTCATTTCTCTGTCTCAGAACAAACTGTCATTTTGATCCTCCACAGTCTTCCTTGTTGGTATTATTTGGGTTAAGAACATTTGGTTATTTGGGTTAAGAACATTTTAGGACAAGAAAATTTCTTAACTGTTCCTGCTCTGCATGGTGTGAAGAAGTCAGAGCTAATAACAAATGTGGTGGCTCTCTGGCAGACTCTAGGTGCAACATGTAAAATGTGTGACATAATTATCTATAGATCTCCTAAGCATATGTGCTTTCTAATTTCTCTCTTGGCAGCTGCTAATGTAATTTTGAGCCATGGTGGAAGGAGTATAATCACCTTGGGGTCAGGGAAAATGTGCATTTGAGTAACTAAATGTCCCTGTTGGATCAGGACTTTATTTGGCTGCTCTGTCTGATCTATCCTGAGGTGCAGAAAGGCAAACGAGGGTCATTGTCACTCAGGGCTTTTCAGTCCTGGTGGCACGTGCTTGGCAAGGGACAAGGCACAAGCCTTGGGGGCATTTTGGAGCTTATGCTTATGCTTTTTGTCTGGTTTAATTTCGTTCCTGACCCATCTATTTTTTTAAAAG